TATAATGCTAATGGTATTGTATTTCTCGGACATCGGATCAGATTTCTTTCAAATCTCTTCACCTCCTAGCCGACGATCTCCAACTTCCATCTAGCATCGACCGAAGATTCCGAATCTTTTTCAACATCTGTATGTGATGTGATGCAATATCTTCAATATTAACTTACAGCCAGAGTGACATCGGCGACCCTTCCCGATAAAGAACGTTACCCCGACCGTCATTCCAGCCCTGAGACCCTTGAAAGAGCAAAGTCAAGGGCCCTGGACAATTCATCCTGCTACCTGTACAGAGTAGTATTCCGTCTCTAGAGTCTAAACTCAACGTACAAGAAACTCTGGTATGTAACTCCGAATGCCCCGGGACAAACCCCATGCCAACCTTACCAGGCATCCGGCTCGAAAGAGATACAGAACAAGGCCAGGCGAGAAAATTACTCGCGCATTTTCTTCCACACAATGGGATTTCATCAATCGATCGCGAATCGGTACTTACCTAGGTAGGTAGATAGGACTGAAAATCCCCGAGCCCTAAACACTCGATCGGGTAACACTAATGAGTGGAAATGACACGCTGAACATCAGTACCGGTGTATAAGGATTTTTACTTGGAGGTCGGAAAATCTTCGTGGTTGAAGGCGAGCACAGACTTCATCCTCGAATTTGAAACATCGACGACTAGGTAAGAAACTAAAAGACCAAGAACTTAATAAGTCCCTTACTACTTCAAAGTTCGGACGAAAAGGAAAGGAACTTGGGGTACAATAAACATTCATGAAACGAAACGATTTTTCAATTTACAGCATTATTATACTTCTATTGCCATTACACCCTTGAATATTGCTACTAATCATGCTTATGCTCTCACTCGTGAGTCGTCACAACGGCCCGCCCCTTTTCCTTTTTCTTCCTTTTTGAAGGCGGTTAGATCCATTCCCTTCATGCACTCCGTACGGAAAGTTTTATCCGTACCGTGCGTTGAGGATTTCCTTTTCTTCCCATCGCTATCGTTGTCGTTTCTTCGTTCTCTCCGTTTCTAGAATTCCTTCCGATAACCCGTTTGCAAAGCTACCTTTCAGTGATTACTATTTTTACTTTCTCTTGGATGGAATGGGTCTGCATGGTAGCGCGAGGGGCGTGAAATATCGCATGACTCTTGCATCTTCTTCTTTTGTTCTTCGATTGGGGAGATTTTGACGTGCTAAGTTGAGGGCTGAGAGCTGAAGTTTTAGCAATCAATTCGCGTAGAGGGGTCTATTCGTAGGAGAAGAAACAGGTCGAATTTGACCACTCAAATCTTCATTGAGATCTTTTGAATTAATTGAATAAAAATCAATTACAAATGCGTTATATAAATTCAACAAAGCTAAGGTATTGTTAGCTTTTTATTATTTGAATCGTATGTACAAATATCATTCCACATTTAGGTAAGAAGAACAATCGAGTTTTCAAAGATGTTATTGACACCGCCTCTTTCTTCTCTGCGAATAGGGGGTCTGGGTCACTAAAAGCGCATGCACGTGACTATAGATCTTATCTTTCTCCGATCTGTTGTTTGTTGGACATCTTGAATTAGAGCCCTCAAATCCAGAAAACTGTAGTTCAATACAAGGGGGACATCTCCTGTGGCTAGCCCTTTCTTTCAAAGGGTTCCAAAACTATATGATCACGTGATATTGATAAGATTGTCATGTCAATTCAATTCAGGGGGAAACCACCATGTCCCTTGGCACACAAACCCCATCCGCCAAAACCTCGACGCGATAACTTTCTCGCAGACTCACTCTAAGACACGCCCAGTGACGCCTCAATCCTTTCAGTAGGTATACAGAAGACTGCTACTCAGCACGACGGATATCTGCTTCTTGCAAACTTGGCGGTCTTGATGGTCTTTGAACCCTTCCTCGGGGTGTTTCAATGCCACGCTTTGTGTGCTTGCAGCGTGCACGTGATTAGTTATCACGGTGTGAAAATATATATTCTATTCTCTTTCTGCATACTGGGTGGGAGTGAGTACTTTTTTTTTCTTTTTTTTCTTTTTTTTTTTTGAAAGATATGGTTGAGATCTTTTTCGTGTTGGCTCAGATTGTTCTCCTTGTCATATAGCTGGGCTGGGCTTAGTCTCGGAGGTCGAAAGGACACTATGAGGGTAGGTAGTCGGACGGTGTTAAACGGCTCCCTAGCCATACACGCTGGAGAGGTAACATGAATTCCAATTGATGAGATCTTTGTTAAATACTGACCGCAGTATCTTCCCACAGTCCCTTGTTGTTATTTGAATCTTCAGCATCTTGCACACACAACAGTAATGTCATTGGTCCTTATATCTGATGTACTCATATCCAATTGAGACATCAGTTTCAGATGCGTCTACGCCATCAGTTGATTCTGCGACGAACAATAATTACACATCGAAGGGAACTCTCTTTCAATCCTTTCGAATAATTAATACTGAAACTACCATGTAAATCAGGACGCGTTTCTAATTGTGCCACTTGAGGTGGCGTAGAGATTGTATCTTGGAAAAGTATTTTGGGGGTCACGGATTGAAGGTTTTCAGTCATTGTTGTCGTGATCTCATAAATGCGTTTCTGATGTGTTAGTGACGTACTTCTTGCTGTCTCTGCCTCCAATTTTATTGTGTCGACTGGCCACTAAAAGGAGTTTCCGTTATGCAGTATTCAAGGAACTGATTACATGCAAGTTCTTTTCAATTTTGGAGGATCAATTATTTAATTCTAGAAATTGGTGACTTTTGACGAGATCTATCATATGCTATAGAATAAGGTAAATGTCACAACAACTGTTGCATTGTGAAGAAGGTATTTCCAGTTCGTCACTCTCAAGCCTCTTGAATCCTATGACAGATGGTTTTCACCGAACCTTTACATCAAGTGTTAAACAATGTTTTAGCCCTAATGATTGAAATACGATGCACTGTTCTCTGCATCTTCTTCAATGAAATGACGGATCCCTGTTTCGATCGATTCTCAGTCAAATTTCTTTCAAGTTGAAGAGATGAAGCCGAAGCGAGAATCAGTGTTCGACATCCAAAGCATGTTGGATTGAAAAGATTGGAAAGATCTGAAATTATCTCAGATGTTCTGCTCATCATCATGGTTCATAATCCGCTACTTGAAACCTCAGAGAATTATATAAAGAAAATGTTACTTTAAATGGTGACGATGCCCTACAGTGAACTCCATTTTCGACTCAATCACCTGGAGCATTTGGATATTCATATCAAGTACTTTCGATAATCTTCGCCATTGCGTAATATTGACGCTTCGCCAGAATTTAGGAAGTGTCGTACATCCTGAACCCATCCCAACCTTGCTCACATACGCTACATACGAAGACATCTCATCTCAAATCTTTTCTACTATATTCATACAATACCCTGTGAATATCCCTGGACCTTCATTTCCAAATTCCTACTGTTCTAAGTGTGGGAGAAACAACTCCGCCAACCACACCCGGCGATGCCAGCTGCGCGATAACGATGGCATCGTGTGCAATAGACTGCTAATCCAATTTAGCCATATAATTCAGTATATAGCATATGAACATCCTGCGAAGAAGATTTGAATACTAACGAGATGTTTAGGACTCTGCTTACTTGGTGGGAGCAACTCGCGATATGATACTTGGTGCAAAAGTCTTGACAGCCATTGCATTGGATGCAATAGATGGCCGGGCCACGAGGTCCTTGCAACTTGGTATATAATAGCATATAAAAATTCTATAGAGGGAATGTGAATACTAACGAGAATCTTAGTTACCAAATTACTCTTGAAAACAAGTCGGCGCACGAGACGCTAGCAGCACATGATTTGAGGGGGGGGTTTCAATCTGAATGGGAGCTTGTATTTGTTTTTGCTTTGTTTTTTGTCTTTTTTTGCTAGGATAATTGGGGGGTCATTTGTTGATCATTTTAGACAGGGTTTTCAGAAGATGCGTGCGGTTTCGCGTTTATTGCAAGCATTTGTGTGGCACGAATTTGTGTAGTTAGTACAAAGTTCACGAGTTCCTGGGAATTGATGAATCCCATGATTACACGAATCCTTTGTTTATCTTTCACTGCCGTATTTTGCGTTGTTGGATATACCTTAATGGAAAGTTTAATAATCATCAAGTTTACATTCAACATCCGCGTCTAAAGATTTCCTTGTGTACCTATATAGGTTTAGAAGAGTCAATCGTTTCACCCTGTTTGTATGGTCCCCTGGCGACATATCATCCCTAATATCAGCAATCGAGTCACATTCTTCGGATTCCTCCGGGAAAGTAGATCCCAACTTAGCTGCTGATTCGATTTCGCGATCAAAGGACAGTCGCGCCTAGTCAATTGTAGGTGATGGAAGAACTAGGTGATCTCGGCCAACTTGGTAGTCACCGGGTTGGTCAATATTGTCTTTGTCTGGCTGTCTCCGTCCGAACTTGTCTTTATCTGCAAAGAAAATCATTAGGTCAACATGTGATTCAAGTCATTCAATCGAATGTTAATATATGTGATCTCGATTTCAGTTTCAATCTCGATCTCGATCTCGATCTACAATCTCTATCAGTTATGGTTTTTGTTATGGAGGAATTCGGCTTTCATTGAGATGCGCATTTTGCATTGAAAGTCCTTTGTACATTCGTTGTCGGCTTTGAATCGTACAACCTTTCATTCTTAACGTCCTCGAGCTAGATGATATACCTCATGAATGGCGTGCTGTATTTCTTTGTAATCTTCATTGAGATCTTTTCCCTTCCTGTGATATTCTGTTATCAACTCGCCATTCGTGTAGTTATGAAATGGGAGTCGAATAGCCTTTTCTTGAATAAGTTTCTTTGTAGATGTAATGAAATTCATCAGGTCCTATAAGCGATCCCGAATGACGTTACTCACCTTGTTTCCTTTATCGCAAACCCCTTTAACTTATCATCTACCATTGTTATCAATCAAACATGACAACAGAAGGCTCCTTGGAAGAAGAAAGCCCCTGGTTAGAAAGCCAATGGTATCCTCCGCTCGACAAAATGGGACTTGGTCTATGAGGGAGAGCATTAAAGAAATAGATGACGATCCAGACTCCTGGCTAGTCTGCAATCTCATCTTACGGCGCTCTGAAGGCCCATCTGCAGACGCAGATTGGTACGATGAAAAAGACAATTCTAGCTACCACATTACGGATGCTCCTATGCCTCCGCCCAAGGCTACTTACCACCTACCCTCAACGAGACGTTTCCGGGCCGGGGGTGACACTCCGCTGGTATCGCTTCTGGATTCACGTACCTGGATGACCGATTCGGCGGCATGGAGTATTGGATACAGCGGCGTTTTAAAAATGGGCTTGTTTAAATTATCACATGACTTCACACACGCACACAAAACATTAAACTGGCTTCAGGGAAATTTTCCAACTTCAACAAGATTTCAGATCCCAAAGGTCATACGCTATGAGGTGCAGATGAAGCGTCATATTACATTTGAAAGTCAACTATATGGCTTGAATTTTGAGCAAGCGTGGCCTATCCTTTCGCCACAACAAAGAGAGAATGTCATAACCGCCATAAAAGATTTTTGTTTTGAGTTGTCCAAAATAAAGGGAGAGAAAATCGGGAGTATCGAAGGAAAGGGGTTCTATGATCAGTATCTGCCGGTGTGGGTCGAGCCGGGTGTAAGTATGTTCGACCCAGCCGGCGTGCAAGCCGGCTGGGCAAAATTGCTGGCACCCGGACTGTCGGAGATCTGTTTCGCGCACAACTGGATGTTGGCCCACCATATTATTCTCATAGACTATCCCAATGCAGGATTTACGGACCTGAGAGTTCCAACCATTGGGGTTACAAGCTGGTCTGTGGCGGGGTTTGTACCGAAAGTATGGGTTCGCACGAAATTTGCCGTTGATCTGGAATATGACATGCAAACAGTTCAAAGATTGAATATAAAATTGAATACGGGTATTCGGTATGATGAAGTACATAAGTGGAGGTGGAACGTCTTTAGGGGGCTGGGAAGAGAGCCGTACAATATGCCAGAGATGAGGGAAGAGTACTGGAAAGCTAAGCCTCTGCACGCTGCTTACGTTGGAAGGGATTTCATTGAAGGGAGGGGTACTCTTGTCTCCATCAGAGCTGAGGAAGAAGGAGATTTCCTTGTGCAGCAGGCGGCAGAGAAAGAGGAGTATGAACGGAATAAGCGGCGATGACCTAGACCTCCGTTGACTGCTATCCATGCTATAAGGGACAATTGCTGAGGTTGGGTTTTGATTTCACTGAATCTGATTATTTCATATATCTTCTCCTATCTCGATCTGTATTTAGTCTTGCGATATATTCAGTATGCAACAAAAAATTCTTTGTAACTTGGTATAAGACCATCTTGTGAAAATGTTCACATTTGTCATTCTAAACATCAACGACAAAGACAACTCTCCGGCAGAACAGGCAGTTCTGTCATGCTTTTATTCAACTTCTTCCCGATTTTATATTTGATAAATTAGAACCTTCCAAACATTGAAATTGTTGACTTGCATCTCCTTTCTGACTTGGGGGTAAGGGCTCGATGTCAAAAATGAGACAAGGTACAATATTGATATCACCCTGGAGTATGGGATATGATGTGCATACATATTTCTGAACAGTATGCGGTATGTCAGTAACCAGGCAAGGTTAGATTCATAAAGTGATCTGTTTATTATTCATTGATTAGGGATTAACAACCTCAAATCTCGAGTAACCATCTGCCTGGAGGCGGTGTCACACAATGACACTAAAGGTTTTTGAAATGTTGAAGTAGTTAGAAGAAACCTCGTTTCGAGATTCCATTCCTGACATGTATGATACACATCATTTCGCCCCCTCCCCCCAACTTCCCAAAGTGATTGCGGACAGGCACCTAGAGATTGATTCGCCACGCCTTTCAAAGTCATACTCCTTACATCGATATTCGGACTATACACACAAAAGGTATTCGCCAAACCAGGCTGGAAGTTGAGTATGTACATCCAGGAGCATGGTGGATCACTTCTTTACATCTGTTATCTGCGGGCTTTTGCAGACTGTTCCCGAGGAGCGCCAGTGTACTTACATATGCTAACCAAAGAATGTTCGCAACGAAGCATTTTCTTAAGCCGCCGTCGCTATAAGTGGTTCCTAGAAAAGTTGTGTCCCTTTGCATGAAGACAGCTACTTCATTTTATGTCATCTTAGCCAGTCGATTTTGGAAGATAGACGGGTCAACGGACAAGTGCAGGAAAATTTCGCCTCGTCGTTCTCGTTTTGTTGTGGTACAATAAACGCTCTACCCAGCCTTGTATTATGTTATTATGCCTTTAAGTTTGCATTTCTTTCATGATATCCCATATCATTCTCACTTGGCACTTTCTCTTTGAGTTCAAAGTGACGGGCAATTGAACATGACTGTCTTTCTAAGAAAAGCTATTTGCTCGACATTATTGTTTGCCTTGCTTGCCAGCCCAATGACAATGCCTATGCCTACAGATGAGGGTTATCCTATGACTACAGCGCCAGTTACTTTACATGATCTCAATCGAGCCCTAAAGCGCGACTCTAAAACATGCAATAACGATATTTGCAATTCGCCTGCTATTTGTGTTGGCCCCACCAGCAATTACGCGACGTGCTGCTATCCGTGGGTTATCTCTTCCTCATTCGAATGAAATTCAGAAGCTGAAACCATTGAAGAGGAGAATCTTGTGATGTAGCAACTACCTGCTATCCATACACAGAGAACCAGACCTACATAGAATCAATTGGTGCATCTTATTGGTGAGTTCCAACACTACCTATGTAAATATTGAGCAATCCTTTAACACGGGTTGATCCAGTACTGACTCCGCCTGGCCATACTGTAACACGTATGTTTTTGATGCATATGATGAGCTTGAGGTAATATATTGTAACGATGTAACGACTCCTGGCGACATCATAATCGTGACCGATACATACTATTGGGGGAGTTCGTTTTCAAACCCCGGATCGCCTACTATCACGCAGTACGTAACTGTCGTATCTTCTATGAGCTCACTGGCCCCACAAACAAGTACAGCACCATCTACTTCAACAAGCACAACAAGCACAACATCATCAACATCAACATCAACCAGCGCCATATTGGCTATTGCTACATCATCCTCCGCGGCAGCAACCGCCCATCACACTCTTCCCACAGGCATCGTCATCGGAATAGCAGTAGGTGCAACACTACTCGTTGTATCACTTCTCACAATTTTTCTTCTTCTCTGGCGACGGCGCTCATCTTCTTCAGCCATCAATATACCACAGCCATCATCAAACTCACATCCAGAAATCCAAGTAGCATCCTACGCCTCTCCAAACCCAGACTCGGGCCCACTTACAAGCTGGACTTCAGCAGCTAGAGGCAGTGAGAAATCTCCATCATATGCCTTCGAAGCAAGACGTGTGAGTAACAAGCCAGATTGCCAGGTCGGTGGAGTAGCTGCTGAGATTAGTAAACAACCGGCTTGTGCACCACTGGTGACTGAGATGGTGGCGCCAGTAGAGACAGTTGTTATTAGCGAGCTTGGGGGGGAGAGTCGGAGGGAGGCGGAGATGGCAGGGGAATAGATTATTGATGATATCTACGCGAGGGGGGGGGGGTTGGAGGCAAAGAGATGTCGGTGTCTATAATGCTCTCCAAGATACTAATTGTCCCTGTTTCCCGGAAAGAATCCGCCATCAAACGTCACTTAAGATATAGATTCATCCGTCAAACTACAGAGGGACAAAGTAAAAACCTCTCAAATATCTCACTGTGTTTCAAAGTCTAAGATTCTTAATAACAACAATAACAATAACAAAAACAAAAACAAAATAAAGTTTTTTGCACCGTGCTCCTGAATTCAAAAATCCCCTTAACTTGCAGGAAGCGATTTGCTCCACGTTACCATTTAACGGCCATATACTATGCATTCAGATCCCGTAATCTTCAGTTCGAATAATAAAGTTCCACCGAGAATAAATTCTTTTAGTGTGCTCGTTCAATGTCGAAATATACTAAAGAACGTTCTCTGATAATCCACGCAATATATCTTCCAAATATATCTGAACTTCAGAATTTCAGAATTTGATTATCTTTTGGCGACACTTCTTCAAAGTAATCAATACCAGTCGCATTCTTTCTCTGTTATATCTGTCATCGCCATTTAATATCATTCTGACTTTGAATCTGATATGTTCTGACCAAAGAAACCAAAATGATCTCCCGCGAAAAGCCGATTGTAACCGCCAAATGGACAACTCACAAGATAAGAAAGAGAACCGAGAATGATATAACAGAGAATAGACAATACATACGGAGGCAAGGGAATGCGATTTTGAAGCTCATCGTCGCGTATACTTATGGGAGGGATCAAGAATCAAGGGGAGTGGAAGAGAGAAGCACAATGGTGATACTGGTGAAATGAAGACGACGGCTAATTTGGTCAAGTGTACTCGTATCGATTGGCTAACAATGCTTAGGATGGACTTTCCCAATTGAATTTAGTAATAGATGGATGTTGATGTTGATGTTGATGTTATCTTATGGATTCCCCAATCAAAGTGGTCTTTGACCCTTAAAAAGCTTAAATGGGTTGATATCAGGGTTGATATGCTGGCTGACTCGCCGGCCTCTGTTAGGAAAAATGATTGATTGATTGATATTGGATTTTGGCCCTCGTTGATTGCTAATAAGTAAGGATAGTACGTAGTTAGTAAATCTGTAAAATCCTAGGTGAAAAATAGAATGGTGCATTAAATGCTCAGTACTGAGTGCTGAGTATTAAGTCCTAAGCTATATATACTGTCGTCGTCGTCGTAGCTCTTTTTGCTGTCGCCTTCAGAAAGTAAGTATCGCATACTCTGTACTCATTGAACTTAGTCAACCCACGAATGTGAATGATTATCAAGCCAATCATTGCCCTTCCATCAATTCACTTACTCTCCTCTTATGTAATTTCAATCGATACACACATATTAGCCACCACTGGGGATCTCCCTCCTGGGCCTCCTCCCTCGAGCCCCTCTTTCCAATCCTTACAATCCCCGGTTTTAGTTACAGTTTCACGTCACGAATCACTCACACATCACGATAAGTCGGATAAGATAAGTCCAGCAAGGTTAGCAAGGTTATAAAACAAACCGAAGTTCATTCCTGACCCCACTCACCTGCAGCGGCGAGGAGAGGAGTGCGAGCTAGGTAAGAAATACTACAAAGGATACAAATCTCCTTCTCTGGCTCTCATTTCCTATTCTCCCCTCTCCCTCTCTTCCTTCTATTTCTTGTTCTTCTTCTCTTTCGCCAATCTCCCCTCTTTCTCATCATCGCACAAACAATGGCTTCCCTAAGAGCTGCCGCCCGATTGCCTCCCATGGCTTCAAGGGCCCTTCCACGAGCTGTACGAACATACGCCACTACGAGTGTCAAACCATTCTTCACTGGTGAGCCAGAGAGACCACATGTCAAAACTGCCATTCCAGGCCCAGAATCCCAAAAGGCAATTGCAGAATTGGATAAAGTGTTTGATACTAGAAGTTTGAACATGCTTGCCAATTATCAAAAGAGTTTGGGTAACTACATTTCGGATCCAGATGGGAATGTTTTGTTGGACGTGTATGTTATCATTACCCGTTCTTGTAATGATTTCCCACAATATACTGATGTCAGAATAATAGTTATGCCCAAATCGCATCCATTCCAGTTGGTTACAGCAATCCTCATCTCCTCGAAGCCGCACAATCCGAACAAATGGCATCTGCCATCATTAACCGTCCTGCCCTTGGCAATTTCCCTTCGCACGATTGGGCCGATATTATCAAGACGGGTATCTTGAAGGTAGCACCAAAGGGTCTCGATCAGGTGTTCACTGCCATGGCGGGTTCGGATGCCAATGAGACTGCATACAAGGCTGCATTTATGTATCGTCGACAACAAGAGCGTGGTGGTGCACATGTGGAATTCTCAGAGGAAGATATTGCTTCATCTATGCTTAACCAAGCACCAGGTGCTCCTCAATTGTCTATCATGTCTTTCAAGACTGCCTTCCATGGACGTCTTTTCGGTTCCCTTTCCACCACTCGCAGTAAGCCAATTCACAAGCTCGATATTCCTGCTTTCGATTGGCCACAAGCTACTTTCCCTCTTCTCAAATACCCACTCGAGGATCATGTCGTGGAGAACCAGAAGATCGAGGAAGAAGCTCTTGCCGATGTTGAACGTATCATCACCACTCACCACCTCCCACCTTGTGCCGTCGTAGTCGAACCCATTCAATCCGAAGGAGGAGACAACCACGCCTCACCCGCCTTCTTCCGCGGTCTCAGGGCCCTCACCAAAAAACACAACGTCCTCCTCATCGTCGACGAAGTTCAAACTGGTGTCGGCGCCACCGGTAAATTCTGGGCCCACGAACATTGGAACCTCGACACTCCTCCCGACATGGTCACCTTCTCCAAGAAGGCCCAAACCGCCGGTTACTACTTCGGAAACCCAGAGCTCCGTCCCAACAAACCATACCGTCAATTCAACACCTGGATGGGAGACCCAGCTCGTGCCATCCTTTTCCGTGCCATCATTGAGGAAATCGAACGTTTGGATTTGGTTAACAACACCGCCAAGGTTGGAGATTATCTCTACGGAGAGCTCGAACGTCTTGCCAAGCAATATCCAGGAGAGATCCAAAACTTGAGAGGCAAAGGACAAGGAACTTTCCTTGCCTTTGACAGCAACCGCAGAGATGAGGTCCTCAAGAAGGCCAAGAGTGTCGGTATCAACATTGGAGGTTCTGGCGAGCGAGCCGTTCGTCTCAGACCTATGTTGATCTTCCAAGAACACCACGCCAACATCCTGTTGGAAGGTCTTGAGAAGATTTTCAAATCCTAGTTTTCCGCTAGGTGTCGCTGTCTCACCTTTTCCCCCTTTGGAAATGAGCACACGAAGCGATGATAAAAGGAACTTTGCTTTCTCACGACACTGTTTTTGACTTTTTTTTAACCTCTTTTGATTTGTGATTTTGATTTTTTTTGGGAATTTGGTTTTTGCATTGGATACGGATTGATATGTAACTTAGCCTGGGTAAAATGTGCTTGGAGTTTTCAGGTTGGATCACCAACTGCGTTAATCGCGCGGTGAAGATGAGATGAAATGGGCACGCAGGTTTTTGCAGATGCATATGATCTAGATAGAATAGTATGAGGATGATGAGTACGAAGATGAATACAGAGATATGACGAGGGATGAAATTTCGCCCTCGCTCAATTTTGTTTGGGTGCAGTGCGGTGCGGGTTGATGTGAAGATGTGAAGATATGAAGATGTGAAGATGGATTTTCGTGTATGTGGTGTGATGCGAATAGTGAAATGAAATGAAAGTATAGCAAAAAAATGGTGAGTTGGAGTTAGCGGATGAGTTCAGAAAGAGAATTATACTCAAGTACATGATGTTTGTTTTTGATAATCAACATGATTAAATAGTAGTGAGAGACGATAGGGATAATAGGGATGACGAAAAGAGAACCTATCTGTATATATGGGAGTGAATTTGAGGGAGGACATGATCGGTTTTATGAGAATACAATGATAGCATCAGCAATGGGAGATAGGTAGCATCGCAATATCAAATTGAATATTCCATACGGATATCGACATCACTAGGGCAAAGTATTGGGATACTCCCCGATATACACACAATAAACCCCAAATAGCATCGGAACATTCGAAATATAGTACATTCATTCATTAACTAGGTATCTTACACATAACGGCCGTTCGTTCTTCCTTATTCGCATTGTAGTTTGGTGATCCCTCCGCCCCGTGGCATATTTATTCGCTCCTAGCCAACCCTTTCCACTATTCTTCAGATTTTAGAGATTCTTAGAGCTTATCTTCTCATTTCCCTCCAATGTGTATTTCCAATGCACATCATACAATTAAATGCCCACTTGTGATGCAAAGAAATAAAGAATAGGCTTGGTATATCACCGCGCGGTAGCATTTATTGTTAAACAACAGAAAAACGAAGAGGAGAACAATTTTAGTGCTGCCACTCCAAATTTCATTACAAACATGGTATCGTAGCATAAAGAAATGAAATGAAAAGTAAAGAAAGAAAAGAAAAGAAAAGAAAAGAAAATCGTTGGGATAAGTGGCATTACATCTGATTGTGAGGCATCGACAGATGTTGTAGAACAAAAGGTATGACTTCGTTAAGGGCATGAACCGAGAAATATGTCGTAATTTGTCGGGCAAAAGTATCGAAAGAGGTAGATTATAAATTGATGTTTCTTGTGAAAGAAGTTTGGTATGTGTTGACATATGTAGGATGGACGCTTAAAGATTACTCATAATTGGCCAAGAGGTGTGACAGAGACGAACTTAAATGTCAGATCTTTAATTGTCCTTGGGGTTTCCCACCATATCTGTGCCTTTGTATTGCATTTCCTGCTGTTCTTTATTGTTTGCTTGGCCACTGGCATGTATTTGGCGTCCTTCAACATTGCTCTGGGCGTCAAATTGCGTCCCTTGGCCTTGGTTATCTCGAGTAATTTGAGCTTCACGAGGCTCTGCTTGGAACTGGGCTCTCATAGATCTATCAAATGTCTGATGAGTACCAAATCCTGGAGGTGTTTGAATTTGTTGCGGAAATTGGGCTGGGAGAATGGGGAAGCTGCCTTCGCCTGTCCTAGGGACCTTTACAAGAGTCAGCACACAGTAACTCACACACGTTTTTAAGTCAACATACGTTTGAAGACCTTGAGGTTGGTCGACCACGCCTCTTCCTACTGGAATCCATTTTATCACCAGTAGAATTGACTGCACTTGGCTCCGACTTTTGAGCTAAGGTAGCAATGGGTGCAGAAGACAAAATGCTTTCTAAGGTGATATCTCCACCACTAGCCATGGGAGACTCGATGGGCCCCTTGGAAGTTGCGAGTGAATCTATTCGCTCTCCACGCGCGATTTCTTCAGCCTGTCGAATCTTGAGATCGGTCTTAGAAGGGCGACCACGCTTTTTCGGTATTTGGCCTGCAAATTGCGGGGAGAACGAGTTTGACGAGCCATTTGGAGCCGGCTTAGGCTGAATGCTGCGCTGAATAGAAGTAACATCTAAACCTGGAGTCCGTCGCTTTCGAGAAGAGTCGGGAGCCGTCAATTCAAGATCGGAAACAGACTTGCGTTTGTTCTGGAAGCCAGGAGAGTCGCTGGAAAATAATGAAGCGGAGGGTAGTTGCGGTGTCAAACTATTGTAAGTTCGACCAGCGATACTATCAAAAGTATGTATACAAGATGCCAAGTTTCGTCCTAAAATCTCCAATCAACATTTTTTTCCCATTAACGTGTGTCGGCGCTTGTGAGTTGTTCATATATGTCGCGCGGGATTATGGGGTCTGAGAGCTGGAGATCAAGCTGGGGTAAACGCGCTTACCTTGGGGAACCTGCATTAACATCCAATTTGGGTTGACGTTGCTTTCATTCAGGATTGCCAACAACTTTTCTGGTGGAATGGAACTTGTCTTAATCACCTCTGCAAGAAGGAACCGCTATTATAACGACGATTGAAAGTCAGTCTAAGGCGCTCTTGGCAATGTTGCGGATGCGAAGATTGCGTTGATCTCAGTTTGCAGTGATCATTTTTGGATTCTTGCGCAAACATACCTGTTCTTGTTCTGTAAATGGCAACTCCATGATTGTTGCGAAGGATAGAAGTGAGGTATGGACAATGGTTGAAAAGCTAGATGCTTATGATCGACGTGTAGTATTATGTTCAGTTAATGCCTCGAGAAGAATTCCCAAAAGATGGTGTGTTGAGCGAGTGAACGTGCAAAAGAAAATTGACAAATAAAATAGATCAAGAAGTCATTTAATAATTAAGTATTGGACATTGAGTACTATTGCGGTAGGAAAGAATCCTCCTTATTCACCTGTCTGAAAAGAGTGAATGCGGGTGAGCAATTGAGAGGAATCGAAGCGTTCCAAGGGTTATAGATTGTGTAGCAAAATCAATGTACAATTGAAAAATGAAAGGTAGAAAAGCGACGAGAGCGATAAGAGGCCCGCGACCCGCGTATTTTGGAAGGAACCTTGAAGAGGAGGAGCAGGTCGTTGAAGGAAGCGCGTGCAGAAAAAGGAAAGGCAAGAAAGGATAAATTGTTTTGAGTTTTGGGGGTTGTTTTTGGTTTGCAACAATGAACAACCATCAACGAGACCGCCACTATTCACACCACGAGATGTACCTGTACCTGTATCTGTATCTGTCTGTATATGTGTGTGTGTGTGTGTGTGTGTGTGTGTGTGTGTGTGTGTGTGTGTGTGTGTGTGTGTATGTACCTTGGTCGATATTGTACGAACGGCTGTCAGCCGTAAAAAGATGGATTAAATTTTGATTTCATCTGGAGGATTCCAAGTAGATGTACAATGGATGATGAATGTAGACGAGAGTACAGAGTACAGAGCACAGAGTAGAGAGCAGAGAGTATAGAGTAAGGAGTGAGCCCAGATCAGACAGGTGGGAGAGATACCTAGGTAAACAAGAGACGACGTAAGAATAAGTTTTCACACTCTTTTCTGTGCCTTTCTTCTCTTTCATTTCTGGATGGATTTTGGTATTTTTCCTAGGTTGTTTCAGGAAGAGAATAAACAACATGGGAGGGGATGATGTTGTGCAGATATGCAAGTCCCATTTCCCTCTAGGACTTTTAACTGGATGTATTGATACCAGCTAATGCGCTGTGCAATGCAAGATGTTAGGATGAAAAGAAGCGGAGAAGGGGAGGAAGTAAAAGTGATGCATGATTTGAGTGAAGGAGAGGAGTGAGAGTGAGGAGTTCAAGAAGGAGTGAAGGTGGCTCGGAAATGGTGTCCGAGGACTAAGTAGGTACCTACCTGGGCAGGAAGATAGAGATACTAGGTACTAGGTACTAGGTACTAGGTACTAGGTATCTAGCTGAAGTGAGGTGAGAAATAAGAAACGAATTTCTGAATTCTGAATTCTGAGGTCTGAGAGATTTCAAGTGGATCCACCTGGGCAACCTTAGGTATACCTAGGTAGGTACCTATGGATGGATAAAGCTGGAGCTGGAGTGGCTGATAAAGTGGCTGATAACTTAAAAGTGGCTAATTTCTCTGGAGCTCTTATCTATTTGGATGCCCAGGTGGTCTGTTTTCTATACCTACCTACCTACCGCTATCAAGCAATGCCCAGGTGCCCTTCATCCATTCCCGACGTCTTCCTTCCTTTCTTCATCTTCGCCATAATCCATTGCACTGCATGTCCAAAAGTCTGGTTTGAATTTATCTCATCATGGAAGTAGTAGGTATAATACTAGGTAGGTACGAGGTAAGTATATCAGGTGCTATTCCCTTGGGATTCTGCAGTTCAATTCTTTCAAGATTACCCATCTACCCATCTACCCAGGTATGTATTTGCGTAAAAACAAGAAATCTATTACATCTCATCTTATCGTTGCAGAGGTCTGAAAACAAACGGAATGTCCCCAGATATCTCACTAGGGAAGGGATTCTGGATCTACTATTGGATACCAACTATAGTTCAAACTGTCCTTGCAGCTTCCTGGAACTCGTTCTATTCTACCCTGAGATTGGCTCAAAAGGAATTCATCAACCGCCAATGATAAGCTGGAACAACCTAGTGGAATCGATGAAATCCAACACAACCCAACCATTTATTACTACAACGACTTGATAAGGCTGTGAGTTCTGCGACCTCGTCAGTCGTATACATAGCCTTATTCCCAACCTTCCAAACAGTCTTTCCCCTCGAGTATCATTCATTGATGAGGTATCTTCAAAAGTATTCGAGAATGCTGAATTGATTGGTTTTGGAGAGGTCCGATGCTTTGAATGGCTGTTCTTCCGAGGCCAAATA